TGGACGCGATGACAGCTCAACAGGCGAACATACGACAAATATACGTTTTCCCAAAGGAATGGGACGAAGTTTGCTTCTTGGAGCTCTCTTAGGGTGCCTCTTGGAGCGTCTTGGGATGCTTTTGGGAGCCTTCCGGGCGCTTCTTGGGGGCTTCTCGGCGCCTCCTGGAGCCACTTGGGGTCGAAGGCTTGGAATTCGATGGTGGCTTTCCTCCTCTGGGGCCCTTTCGGGCCCGTCTTGGGCACTCTCTTGGGCCGTCTTGGGCCCTTCGTGGGCCGTCCTGGAGCTCTCTGGGGCTGTATTGGAGCCCTCTGGGGCGCGTCCTGGGCCGGACCGACAGCGAAAACCAGCAATATGTTAAACATATACGTTTTACGAAGGGAATGGGGCTATTTTGGCCCCTTGGGGCTCTCTTTGGGGCCCTATTGGGGGTCGCTTGGGGTGTCTTGGGGGCTTCTGAAGCCGCCTTGGAGGCCATGTTGGGCGTCTGGGAGCGACCTTCGGGCGTCCCGGGTCTGTTCTGGAGCCTCTGGGGGCCTCCTTGGCGCCTTCTGTGAGTCTTCTGTGAAGCCCCGGGGCTCCCCGAGGGCCCCAGGGCCCACATCTGCGGCCGTCTTGGGCCCTTCGTGGGCTGTCCTGGAGCTCTTTGGGGCTGTATTGGGGCCCTCTGTCCAGAGGTCCCTCATGTTCGATTTTCGGACATGAGTGCCATGTTCATTTGTAATGAACATGGCATCATAATCGCCATGTTCGTTTTTGAACATGACGTAACGCGTTTGAACACAACGCGGTCTGAACGGCACGAGTGCCATTCGTTCTTGCCGCGGCTGTCCGCCGCGCGCACGATCAGCTTGATCGACGGGCTTACGGGCCCGACGTTTACGGCATGCAAGCAAAAAAGTCGGGGCTAGGATCCAGTCCAACGCCGATTCGAATCTATGAGGAGGAGGAGGAGGGGGGGGGAGGAGGAGGAGGAGGAGGAGGAGGAGGAGGGATATCGAGGATCGGGGATCGATCGAGGGTCGGAGGAAGAGGGGAAGGAGGAGGAGGAGCCTCGAGGAGGAGGAGGAAAAGGAAGAGGAAAGGAGGGGAGAAGAGGGAGGAGGAGGACGGGGAGGAGGAGGAGGAGGAGGAGGAGGAGGAGGAGGAGGAGGATAATGAAGAGGGGGAGAAAGGGAAGGAGGAGGAAGATTGGGAGAGGCGGCAAACGATCAGAATTGTTCAAACTTCTCTGAAATGCGATTTCGGACCCAGGGCGAGTGGTCTTGGGGGAAAGGGAGGAAGGCAGCGGCAGCAGCAGCAGCAGCAAGAAGAGAAGGAGGAGGCGAAGGAGGAGGAGGAGGACAGGGGTGGACCTGGGACCCCGCTTTTACTATGTCCTTGAAGTCTCGAGCGGGGTTCGGCGGTGGCGTGCCGCAGGCTTGTCCATAGATCTTGGGAATCGTGCAATACCCCCTATAACCTATGTCTCGATTCTTCTGGCGTGCTACCTGAATCGGAGTGGAAGTAACCCAGATGAAACACTGCGGAGATCATTTTGGGCCAGATGTGTTCAGCCAGGGATGGGGACCCTTTTGTTTCTTTTTGGAGGCTCACGCTCCTGGCGCCGCTCAAAACCACATCTCTTCGGGCAGTGCGTGTCCAGGTCTGGGCGAGGTGAAACTTGGCGAACAATCTTCGCTCAAAGGCAAGTCTATGGCAACGCGCGGCTATGTGCACAATTGTTTTGTTTAAGCCTTCATCGGAATATGAATGATATGCCCTTGGGTTCCCTTTGAATGCAGAGTCAATGGAACAATGTACGAATCCATGATGCTTGGGTTTCACTGGAACTCCCGCCTGCTGAACAAAACGATTGTGCGCCAGTGAACACCGAACCAACAGCTCAGACGCTGCTCTCAGTAGGAGCCTTGTGTGTGCAGCGACTGTATTCATCCAGGTCTCAATGACCTCGCCAGCCTGGATCAGAGCACCCGCGTCAGTTATTTCAAACAAGCGCTCGCGGAACTGCCTCAACATCTTCAACACGTATGGGAAAAAATGCTTCGTTTCCGCAGCTTTGAGGCTCAAGGACGGGTCATCGTACTGCCCCAACATACTCGGCACCAAGCGCCCAACACGCGTGATGCCTCCTCTCCTCTCGGGCGGCAGTGTCCTCGGGACCGATTGAAAATCAATTGTCACCTCTTTTTCTGCGCCCCTCCCCCAGGACCCCAGATGATATGTCCAAATTTCATGTGCTGCGTGCGCACCACATGCAATTTGGACCCCCTCCTCAAACACAACACTGGATAGTGGGTGGCTAATGTTTCATGTGCTGAGCGGTCCTTGTGTACTCTGGATACCATATGCGAAGGCCTGCGGTAAGGGACAACCATGTTTGCCCCATTTTTTCTCGTCGGGCTGCTGCACCAGAATTAAACACATCAGCTTCGCTCATGTACCAAACCGAAGTCCCCAAATAGTCTTGCAGCACTCCAAGATGCACCGTGTGTAGGATGTTAATCCCTATACAGTCTAGCCCAATGCCAAGATACAATGCGAACAACGGGTGCCTCCTGCTGGCCATGATAGGTTTTTGAGATCTCCAAAATAGAACTATGCACGGAAACTGGGTAATACTCTCAAGTGTCATTGTGTGAGGGAGTTGGCAGGATGGTTCCAAACGATCACCCTGACGCAACAGAGTGTCCCCGACCTTGATGCCACGCGATAACACCCTACCCCTCTGTTTTGGTTTGCTTTCTAGTGCGGACCTGATTTCAAAATGACTACCGCGATCTGGGATGGAAGCCATATCCCGCACGACGTGCAATATTGATCGCAATCATCTTGTGTGTGTTTTTTTTTCTGCCACGTGTTCACGTCGAGCGAATTAAAATCCTTCTTTTGAATATGGCATTTGAAACAGAAATGGAAGTTCGCACGCCAAGATGTTAAGCCCCACCGCTGAACTATTTCAGCCCAGTCACCAATAATATCAAGAACCACGGCCCTAAAACCTAAAGGCTTTCCACTCTTGAAAGCGCGGCCCCCATCTGAGAACAACCAGTCGGCCCCGTCGTGCCTCGCAGAGGGCCAGCGCCCCTGAGCGAGAGCCTCTAAGCTCCAATTGACAAATTCAAAAAATGAGAACAGCGAGTCCCAACCCCCGCAGCCGCAGTTGCAGAAGTCCGACTTTCGGACTGAAAAAACATAAATGTCTGAAGGCACTGCTGATAAACCGCACAGTGAAGGCCAGCGCGCTATCCCGTGACTGGTATTCAGACGCGTCTACATATAAAACCAACGGGATCGTCGCACATCTTTCTTCGTTCGCAAGCCCGACAATAAGGGGATGCTTCTCGAAACATTCGACCCACTCTGTTCCAGAAATCGCATCTCTCCAAGCTGTTCGAATTTCAGGGTGGGCCTCGAATTCTCTTGCCAAGGCTTCGCGGGGTGGCATAGTACAAGAATCAACCATTTCAATATCACCAGCATATGTTGAATACATCGGCACTTTGACGCGGTACAGTTTCTCGTCTTCCTTAGCGAATCCGAGCGCCCAGTCTAGTTTTCTCTGGAAGTGGCCCGAGGGGCTCTCGGGGGGTAACCCGTATTTCCTCGCTTCTCGCATCCCAGCTTCAGCAGCGTAGTGACATAAGATACGAGCCATTCGGGCGCTGATCTCGCCTGCCAAATAACGGTTCAATGACCTCTTGAACTGGGGATGTCCTTAGAAGCGCCCGAGAGGGGTCGCGAAAATCGCCGCCAAAACCTAAAAAAAAAACATGTTTTTTTAACAATTCCTGGCTGTGGCGCTGGGCTTAGAAAAAAACGCATTTTTCACACATTTGTTCGGGGCGAGGCTACAAGGAGAAAAACATAATAGCAGATCTGCGACCACTAAGAGGCAGCCGAACGCGTGAGATTTTCGATTTTCCGAATGCGGAACTGGCCAGAGCTAAACAGGAAAAACCAAAAAACATGCGGAACTGGCCAGAGCCCCCCCCCAAAAAACAAAAAAATAATCGCACGGTGGAGCGGCGTATCTTTCAAGCTCCGAAAAATCACATCACACACCCAATGCCTACGACGGGATTTTCGTTTTTTGCAACATGAGTCACGCATTGCGTGACAGATGGTTTATGTTCCCCCCCCCCCCCCCCGAATACGCTGTTGCCCGCGCATGATGACATTACCGTTTTTTTTATGGCCACCGCGGCCAGCCTGATGTTCATATTTTTTTCTCGTGATCGGCATGTGCATCTCCCCGCGTGGTTGGGCCGCGTATCTGGCGCCAGCCATGTATATAACAGACAAGTCCTAGGCCCTCCTCGGCCCCGAGGGGCCGTCCAAACCGATCCGGGCACCCCTAGCAACAAGCTCGGCGAGGGCACAGCGGCACCCCGGGGCGAACAAAAACCACCAAGGACCAGCCAAAAAAGAAACGAGAGCCTCGAGTCCGCGGCGGCGGCGGCGGTGAGGAGGAGGAGGAGGAGGAGGACGGGAGAAGGAGCGAGGAGTGAAGGAGGGAGGAGGAGGAGGAGGAGGGGGAGGAGGAGGAGGAGTAGGAAGAGTCAGGAGGGGACCGACCGACCCACCGATCGTATTTTCGCACCCCGCAAGCGCACCCAACCGCACAACGCTCAACGTCTGGGGCTTACAACCCCGCCCCTTCGCACTGGCGGCCCGCCAGTGAGTAGCGCGCACGGCGCAGGCACGCTGAATTCAAACGAGACCGCAGAGCGGCTGGCAGAGCGGAGCGGAGGGCCCTCAGCGGAGGGTGGAGGGAGGAGGGAGGGAGGGCTGAGGAGGAGGAGGGAGGTGGGAGGCGAGAAAGGAGAGAGAGAGGGATGGAGAGAGAGAGTGAGTGATCAACGGACGCAGGTGCAGCTCCGAACTTTGTCGTCGTCATCATGTCGTCATCGTCGTCGTCGTCGTCGTCGTCGTCCCAAAAGTTGACGTTCAGTCTAGCTGCACCTGCCCCCGAAGATCGAGCCCAGCAGCCCAGCAGCCTATTGCATCAAGTGGAACAGCAATGCCGACTGCTGGGCGACGGTCGCGGCGACGGTGCCGACGCCATCGCTCACGCGGGCACGCTCCCGCCGCTCCTCCTTCTTGGCGACCCTCCTGTCGACCTTCTCCGCGTGCCTGGCTGCCTCATCCGGGAACATCGGGCGCGCCAGCTCCATCATGTCGTCGAACGCCAAGAACTCCATCGATCCGAAGTTCTTCTGGGGCTCGGTCTGCGGCCCCGGCAGCTCCACAGCCACGGTGGCAGCCACGACCTGCTTCGCCGCCGCCTCCTCCTTGGGGGACTCCGGGGACTCCGACTCCTTGGGCTCCACCGCCGGGGCCCCCTCCGCTGCCGTGGGCGGCCCAGGATCCTGGGCAGGAGCAGCAGCAGCAGCCTCAGCAGCGCTCCCAGGAGCAGCCTGGGCCTGAGCAGCCTGAGAAGCCTGAGCAGGATGAAGGGCCCCGCACGCGGCAGGGTTCGTCTTCTGCGGCTGCGGCTGCTGGTGGACGTCCTCGATCGCAAGCTGCGGCGCAGACTCCACGGGTGCCACGCCGATGAAAGGCAGCGCGAACGTCACCTTCACAACGCCGCCCACAGTGACGTCGAACTCGAAGCAGTCCTGCACCATAGCCTCGATCCATTCGTTGTTCTCAGAGGCCTTGTGAAAGTCATCCTCACTCATGCCCCTCACGGACCATGCTGGGGCGCACGTGGGAGAACCTTCCCCTCCACCAGGCGTCACCGACATAATGTACGTGTGGCCCTGGATTGTCACCTTGCCTATCTCCACCTTGTTTGCATACTGGCGAAGGTTGCGATCGACTAAGGTCTCCTCTAATGAGATAGCTCCAACGAATGCCAAACGAATCAGCCACCCATCCTTCACGGGCAAGTACTCATTCAGATCGATCGGGACCCACACCTTTTTGAAGTTGGCCTTGCCTGTCCTGGATACAGCGTGTCTCAACGCCTCGGTGCCAACATCTCGAATAGTACTTGGCCTAGAAGTTGACGTAGTAGAACCCCTAGAGCCTCTAGAGCCCTTTGAATCCGAGCTGTGCTGACTATCTGCTGGTGGTTCATCGCCTCCACCCTGGTCGAGCTTGAAGTTTGGGTTCCATAAGTCGAGGATGTAATCTGTCAGCTCCAGGCCGACCTTGTATGCACACCATGCCCGCGGCAGTGTCAACGAGGGCACGCGCCGCATGCCGCCCTCGCTAATGACATTGCTCACCACATCATCGATACCATCCTTGTCCACGCCTCCGTCCAACTCAACCGAGAAGAACGCCTTGACAGAGACATCCCAATTCTTGACCAACTTGTCCTCACTGGCGGAGGCAAGGTCGAGTAAGAAGGAGGAGGAGGAGGAGGAGGAGCAGGAGGAGGAGTGACTACAATCCTCCTCCGCCTTGGCATTGTGGACCAGCTTCTTTGCGATGAGCGACACCATGGTATCCTTGGCCATCAGTTTGGCCGCGTCGGTCTTCACGTTGAAGTCGTCCACGAGTTTTTTGCGGAGTTGGATTGGTGTCATCTGTCGAACAGACGCCTCTTTGGTCTTCGTCAAGGTGTCCCACTGCTGGTCGGTCTTCCGCACTGGAGCAGACTTAAGGTCCACAGCCTTTTCGAACAACGTCGTCCACATCTCCTCGTCAAGGCCATCTAATTTGCAGTCAGAAGCGTACATGAATATTGCATCTTTACACCCCATTGCAACTGCGACCCCAGACTTCATGAAAGCGTGGAGGTCAGACATCTGCTGTTTGAACTTCACCGGGATGACGTCCATGGTCAGAGCGGTGTCGAAATAATCACACAGCTTGGTCATCCCCAACAGCAAGTACCTCGGCTGCAGCTGTACAAGCGCCTCCACCTCTTTAAAGGTCTTCCAGTTGGCGTCTGACCACGTGACCAGGGGCGCAGCCGCGCTCAGGTCGACAAGCACGCTGCTAGGTGTGACGTTGAACTGACGCTCTGATCCGTCAACGACGCCAGACTTCACCAGTGCGTACTTGGTTAAGAGGCAGGCCGTCGCGTAGAGGGATGGCGGAACTTCCTTATGAATGATAGGCGTGAGGAATCGCAAGACGGACGAGAAGTTGTCCTCGGCCTTGTCGAACACGACCCCTTTGAGCACATTCGGGAGCATCGCCGTCTCGAAAGAGTCGCCTCTCAGAGCTGATAGTATTGCAGCGTTCACCCTCGTATAGGAAACATGGCTCTCCTTCACCTCGTCCATGGTAGAATCACAAGACGGACGGTTCGTCTCGTAGATGTTGGCGAGCTTGGTCTTCAGGTACGTATGCTCCTTCAAGAGAATATGTATCTTCTGCTTGATTGGTCCCAGCTCAGGCTGCTCCTCGTCCTCCTCGACGCAGCAGTCGTCCGTCAGAGGGCACTCGTCCAAGTTCACGTCGAAGGTTCGACACAGAGTCAGGTAGATATCCCACCGTAGTTCCGACCACTCGCCAGAGTACGTCTTCATTGCGCCATCAGCCGTAGTGAGGGATGTGGTCAGAACTTTGTCGCAGCCGAATGAAAATCCACAGGCAGTCAAGAGAACAATGATCTCCCACTTCGCGGCCAGAGTGGTTGCATTGAAGTCCACCCCATTTGCCTTGTCAACTTGCTCCCGACGCGCGAGAACAAGTGCCACAGTGTGCTTCACGTCGTCCAGGAACGTGAGGGATCGAGCCGTGCCGTCTGAACCTGACACGATGTTGGCCCAGCCGTGCTGATGTGCTGGAACGTCAAGTGTTGGGCGAACAGGCTGCACAAGCTGCTGCTGCTGCTTCGCATCCGGCGCGCCGTCGTGAGCGTGGTCATCAGGTTCGCCGCCGCGCTTCCTCTTCTTCTTGTCCGCCTTCTTCTGATCCGCCTTCTGCTGCTTCTCCCGCGCCTTCTCAGCAGCTTTGGCCGCCTTCTTAGCTTCGGCCTCTGCAGCCTTCTCTTCCTTTGACTTCTTCGCAGGTTTGGGCATCTCCTTCTTGTCGGCCTTAACCAATGTCAGCATCGCGGCACTCTGATCACCTGGGTTGACATTTGGAATCCTTGCCAAGCGAAAGTGCTTGTTCTGCTGCATGCGGCTGAAGAGATTGGGCAGCTTCGTGTTCACATCAGCAGTTGACTTGAATACGTATGGGAGTACGTCTGTGGGCGCGCTCAAGTACAGGAACGCGAGCATCGATACCTCCTCGGCGCCGGCGTAGTCTGTGTGCCCAGCGACCTTCTTCAAGATGGACTCCTGTACTAACATCACCGTGTTTGAGGAGAGGCCCGCGTACGTAAATTTGCAATGGGTGTCCATGAAGGCCAGAACGGAAGTCAAAACGCCGTGTTCCTTCAGTTTCGTCCGGACACGCCTTGTCCTGAGGAAGTCGGCCATGCCTGTGAAGAGTGCTGGCCACGCGCCCTGGATGGTCTCCCACTCGGCTGTTTGGTGACCAGCTTGGGACCTGACGCGCTTCTTGTCCCCGCACTCGCACTCCTCGTCATCGTCCTCCTCGTCGCCGTCCTCGTCGCCGCCGGCGCCGACATACTCTGTGATCGCAGTTGATGCGGAGGTCGCGGTGGCAGAGCCGCCAGAGGAGTCGAGGGAGTCGGGCGCCTGCTCCGCCGCCTTCGCTCGCTTCTTCGACCTGTCATCCGCAAGCTTTGCGTCAATATCAACGACGAGCTTGATCCTCTCCAGCCACGATCTCTGCGACCCGTACCCAGTCAGACGATTCATCTCGTCTCTGTAGTATTGGAGTACATACGCGGGGCAAGTGGGCTGAAGAAGAACAACATCTCTGACTCCACCATGAATCGTAGCCAGGACTTGTTCGTTGTCTGGCTTCTCTGCGTGGGCGTCGTATAAAGCCTCATGCAAAGTCGCAGCCGACACCTGATGCAAGGTCCAATGAGCCCTGTTGACGGACGATGGAACGCAGTACACCTTCCCAGCGCGTATGTCCTTCCCGATGCCCTCCTTGAGTATGCGGTCCTGGGAAGGGGCGGAGGTGGGAGGATGCATGATGGCTGGGAGGGCTGGAATCTGGAAGTGAGGGCGGGGCGGAGCAGTGGAGCAGAGCAGGAGAGTAGGAGGAGGGATGGAGGGAAGAGGTGGAGGAAGTGGGTGGGCGGTGGAGTAGCGGGGGAGGGGAGGGGAGGGGGTAGGGGAAGGGCAGGGAGGGAAGGGAGGGAAGGGAGGAGGGTTCAGAACCGAACGATCCTTGTACTCCGCCCGCACAGCTTTCTGACCACGCCAGTTGATGGTGTGCCTCTTGAAGACTTTATCGCCGTTGGCGTGGAACCTCTGGCGGGAGCGGCAGAGCCCCCGTTCTCCTCCTCCTCCTCCTCCTCCTCCTCCTCCTCCTTATCATCATCATCACCATCATCATCATCATCATCATCATCATCATCAGCAGCAGCAGCAGCAGCAGCATCATCATCATCATCATCATCCCTCCTCCCTCCTGCGTAAATTGTGAGGAGCTCTCAGGCGAACGCGCGATCCCGGAATAAATTGCGAGGACGTATCATCGGAGTCTTCAGGAGGAAGAGGGAGGGACCATGGTATGATCTCGTGGCCAATATCCTCCAGCACGAACTTCGCGTCAACCGCGTCCCTGAGCACTCGGCCTGAGAGGCCGGGGAACTGGTCGTTCACAGTGCGATAGGTACCGACTGGCGCTCGGATGCCTCCCGGCTCGAGCGACTCGCCGGCAGCGCCGCCACCACGGGCAGCCTGGCAGGGGGGCGGAAGGCAGAGTTGAGGAAGTGGAGGGGGTGCAGCGAAGCAAGGGAGGAGGCATCAATCTCCCATCATATTTTTATTGATGATCCAGCCTGGGCCGATCCTGTGGTCGCCAAGGCTTCAAGCGCGATTGCAACGGGCAGCAAAGAAGCAGCTGGCAGGAACCAGACCCACACCCACAAGGTCCTGGACAATCTGCGACATTACACCGCAGACGCTGCACTTGGTCCTAGACCATCTGCGATATTGCACCGCAGGTCCTGGAAGCGATCCGCCGCTCCGCGGTATCATGCCGAAGGCTGCGCTATGTAGCTGGTTGGTGGTAGAAGGCTGGTGGTGTGGCAGGGCACGCATCTCTTCTCCGATCTCCTCCCTCACTCTGCCTCCCCCTCACACGCCCTACAGAGGGCGGGCTGACGCTCAATCTGCTTACAACTATCACAACACCATATACCGAATTGCCGAAAACGTCTGTAAAATGGCGGGCGGCATGGCTGTCAAATCTTCACACGCGTGGGAGCTCTACCCCATCCTGGCGAAAACTTCAAACGCTTCTGCATAGCGGCTCCGCTTGTTGTCAGGGCCGTCATGGCCTGACGGGCCCGCCGGGTCTGACTGGTTCCTCGTGACGGTCGTGACCGTCACCGTCGTTTTCGTCAACGTCATCCCATCCACGCTGCTGGAGGCCGTGGACACGTGCACTTCGACTGGACCGTCGGCTCCTGGGCCCTGCTCCGCAGGGCGGTCGGCGACTTCCGGGCGCTCCGCAGGGGGGTCGGCATCATGCTGCAGCGCGGCAGGTGGTGGAGGTGGAGGCACATGTACGACAAGAGGAGAGGGGCGACCGAGGTCGGGGAAGGCGAGGACGGCGACGCCGAGGAAAGAACCCATGACGTTCACATGGTAACAATTGCCCTGCTGCTTCGCCTGCGAGCGCCGCGTCCTTCAGGGGGCCACAAGATATTGACACCAAATCTACTGCTCAATCCTGCTGCCACTGTTGATCCTCCCCCTCCTCCTCCTCATCCTCATCCTTATCCTCCTCCTCCTCCTCCTCATCCTCCGTCTCCCTCTCCTCATCCTCCTCCCTCCTCCTCATCATCCTTCAATCCTCCTCGATATTCCGCCCAGGGCTCCTCTTATCAGGAATCAGGTGCGGGTCCAAGTCGCGCGAGAACTGGCACATCACGCCGGTGGTGACCACGGCCTCCTCCGTGACAGGGTAGCCCATCGCGGTCTGCAGCTCGTTGACCGTCACAAGCCGCGCGCTCACAGGATCCACAATAGCTGCAGCGTTGGCGATGATCGTGTGGAGCTCTGGTCCACGAGAGTTCATGGGCCTTTTCCACGGGTTCTGACCGACGTCGTAGCACTCATTCGGCGCGTGCGTCTCGTAGAACTCCGCCCTCTTGAGCTCGTTGGGACCAAGCACAGAGTACGGGGTCGCATTGATGTCGAGGCTGCATACGAAGCCGGCGCGGTCGAAGTCCCTGACCGACTTGCGGTTCGCAGCCCACTCGAGCTCGGCCTCGATCTCCTCCTGGTTGCTGACAAGGAAGGCCCTCCAAGTGAGACCCGGATCCCTCCCCCTATGGAACATGAACGCCACCATCATCTTGATGTCGTAGAACTCGTCCGAGGAGCGGCGAACAGGGTCGCGCGGCAGGTTCAAAGCGTCGAGGATCGGGCACGCGTACTCCTTCAGGATCAGCATGGATACTGACCGCTTACGCTGGCATGGCCAACCATACTGCGAGGGGCACGTTGAGCAGCGGACGATGAAGTATAAGTCGCCCAAGTGGTACTCGAGCTCGCCAACATCGAAGCGCTCCACATTTTCGTGGAGAACTATCTTCTCCAGCAGACTGCGGCGCATAGCGCACCATTGAAAGAAATATTTGGCGTACGGCCCGTCCATCCCCAGCATGTCGCCGTAGACTGAATGGCCCTTGCAGTTCGGGCCAGCCGCGTGAATGTCACACGACGTTGGACTACAGAGGCAACCGTGCGTCAGACACTTGCCCTTTGCCTGGGGCCGCGCCCGCGGCAGAACGCATCGCAGCTCCCGGGCGGGTCGCTCAAAACCTCTGCTGGTCAAGCCGACGTCGTCCTTGAGGTGATCCGGGGTAAAGTCGAGTGTGTCCCCGAAGATGCAGTGGCGATGCTCGCGGGCATGAATGCGGGCGAGGAGCGCCAGTTCTTGCTGGCACTTGCGGTCCCGCTCCAGTGACCACTGGTGGTCGAAGGTGATCGCATCGTCACGCGGCACGCCGTCAGAGGTCAGCTCGGTCGCAAGTCTCGTCCCCGCGACTCCCAGCATGCTGGCAGCGATGTGGTCGGTACCGATGCCACTGAAGGAACTGGACATCGTGACCCGCCGCCCAGTCAGAGCCCTAACCAGGGACTGCGCACTCATAGCTCCAGTCGAGGTCAGTCGCCGCAGTGAGTGGTATGCCCAGCCCTGCAACTGCCTCAACGACGACGCGTCATCCATGATGGGCCGAATTCGCTCGAGGTCGATCGTTGGGTTCAGGCGACACGGGCGGCTCATGCCAGGCGCCTGATCTGCGGGCTGCGTATGCAGTTACGTGGGCAGTGTGGGCGCGAAGATGCCAGCACAACAAACGTCAGCAGAGCCTAAATGGCAACGGCACAAGATGGCCCAAGTAGGGCCCAAGATGAGGTCGTCTTGGAGCCTCCCCACCAGGTTCTGGGAGGGTGGTGGTGGTGGTCGTGGTGGGGAGATCCTCCCCACCAGGGTCATGGGGGGGCGGTGGGGAGATCCTCCCCACCAGGGCCCAAGGGGTGGTGGGGAGGTTCTCCCCACCAGGGTCTGGGGAGTGGGGGGTGATCCCCACCGGGGTCCGAGGGGGTGGGGGAGGTTCCACCCACAGGGTCTGATGGGGATGGTGGGGAGGTCTCCCCACCAGGGTCACGGGGCGGTGGGGAGGTCCTCCACCAGGGCCCAAGGGGGTGGTGGGGAGGTCCTCCCCCCCAGGGTGGGGGGGGTGGGGAGGTCCTCCCCACCAGGGCCCGGGGGGGGTGGGGAGGTCCTCCTCCACCAGGGTCCGGGTGAATGGTGGGAGGTCCTCCCACCAGGGTCCGAGGGGGGTGGTGGGGGAGAAGGTCCTCCCACACCAGGGGGTGGTGGGAGGTCCTGTTCCGGGAGGGGGTGGGGAGGTCCTTCCCACCAGGGCCCAGGGGATGGGGAGGTCCTCCCACCAGGGTCGGGGGGGGGGGGGGAGGGTCCCCCACAGCTCCGAGGGGGTATGAGGGAGGTCCCCCATGGCCCGAGGTGGTGGGGGGAGGTCCTCCCCACAGGGTCCGGGGAGGGTGGTGGGGAGAGTTCCCACCCCAGGGTCCAGGGGGTGGTGGGGAGGTCCTCCCACCAGGGTCCAGGGGATGGTGGGGAGGTCCTCCCCACCAGGGGTCCAGGGGGGTGGAGGTGGTGGAGGTCCCTCCACCAGGGGTCCGGGAGGGTGGTTGGGGAGATGTTGGTGAGGTCCTCCCCACCCGGGGCCAGGAGGTGGTGGGGGGGGTCCTCCCCCCAGGTCCGGGAGGGTGGTGGGGAGGTCCTCCCCACCAGGGCCCAGGGATGGTGGGGAGGTCCTCACCACCAGGGTCCGAGGGGGTGGTGGGGAGTTCCTCCCCGCCAGGGCCCAGGGTGCGGCGGGGAGGTCCTCCCCACCAGGGTCCGAGGAGGTGGTGGGGAGGTCCTCGCCGCCAGCGCCCAGGGAGTGGCGGGGAGGTCCCCCCCACCAGGGTTCGGGGGGGTGGTGGGGAGGTCCTCCCCGCCAGGGTCCGGGAGAATGGCGGTGAGGTCCTCCCCGCCAGGGTCCGAGGGAGTGGCGGGGAGGCCCTCCCCGCCAGGGCCCAGGGGGTGGCGGGGAGGCCCTCCCCACCAGGGTCCGGGAGGGTGGTGGCGAGGTCCTCCCCACCAGGGTCAGAGGCGGTGGTGGGGAGGTCCTCCCCACCAGGGCCCAGAGGTCCTCCCCCCCAGGGCCTCCCCACCAGGGCAGGTCCTCCCCACCAGGGTCCGGGCGGTGGTGGGGAGGTCCTCCCCACCCCAGGGTGTGGTGGGGAGGTCCTCCCCACCAGGGTCTGGGGGGGGGAGGTCCTCCCCACCAGGGTCCGGGAGGGTGGTGGGGAGGTCCTCCCCACCAGGGTCCGGAGTGTGGTGGGGAGGTCCTCCCCACCAGGGCCCAGGGGGTGGTGGGGAGGTCCTCCCCACCAGGATCTGGGGGGGGGTCTTCCCCACCAGGGTCCAGGGGGTTGGTGGGGAGGTCCTCCCCACCAGGGTCCAGTGGGTGTCATCTTGGGCCATGCTCAAGGCCCTCGTCGTTGGTACGCTGCATGCTGCTACACTGCGCGCTGCTACACATCCCTGATCAAGGCAGCTCGCCTACGTAGGCATCGTCTCTGGATGGGCTGGTGAGGATACGCGAAGCGTCACGGAAATTCAAAACAATGGTATGACGTGTTTGGAGAGCTCGCTGCAGGCGGTAACATATTCAAAGCAAGTTATGCATTGTGGTTGAAAGCTCACCATAAGCGAACACACATTCCAAACAATGCTATGATGTGTTTGGGAAGCTCGCCACAGCGATGTGTTTTGAGAGCTCGCCACACGTCTTAAGTCTGGATATCCTGAGGGCCATAAGCGCAAAGCGAGTCGTACAAGATCGCATTGATGGGAGTCATCCTCCTCCTCCTCCTCCTCATCCTCCTCCTCCTCCTCCTCTTCCTCCTCCTCCTCATCCTCCCCCTCCTCCTTTCGGAAACGCGAACAGTTGTACTTTACGAGGGATTGTGGCATGCCTGTACGGGCCCCAAGGTGGGCTTTATAAGGGTTCAGGAGGGCCCTTAACCCCGGATATGATGAACTATCCCTGGGAACTCAATCAACCATCCATTCACGAACGGGCAGGGGGGGCGGCAGGCAGCCTGGTCGGGCATGGTCACGTCGTGCGCGACACGCTGCCCCTGGTAAAATCTCGCGACTGGCGGCGGTAGCAGCCCGAGCTGGTTCACGACTCGAGCCGCGTCAGCGTCAGCAGCAACGGCGGCAGTGGCGGGGTTGAGGAGTGGGGCAGGTGGTGGGCGAGGAGGCAGGCAGGGTGAGGAGGAGGAGGAGCAGGAGGAGAAGGTGTAGAATAAGGAGGCGGGGTGCAGTGAACCTAGTCCCCGGCGGTTGCGGATCAGAACGAGGATGGCTCGGCGCGCTCGTGAGAGAGTAAAGGTTTTCGCCCAGGACTCGGGACTCCATGGGCACGAACGCCCTGGGATGAAATAAAACCGTTCGGGCACCCTCACTCTATGGGGGAGGCTGGCGAAGGGGGAGTCCGCTCTTGAGCGAACACTCGGCGGGCGTTGTTAGCACACGTCTGCGCCCGCGGCCGCCACCTCCGCCTCATGCATAAGCCAACCGCTGCACCAGTCACAAAGGTTAGCGCTGCCAGGTATGTTGTCCACCATACTGGTATGTGCACCTGCCCAGTCCCGCACTGCGACACACATGCGATCATGAGGAGAGGAGGAGGAGGAGCTTGCTGAAAGCTCTGGGCTAGCACAGGCAGACGCGAGCGTTCCCCAAGCAGTGCATTTACACATGGGCTACAGGCTCCGGAGGCTCCTGAGGCTCTGACGCTACAGCGATAGATCGAGAGAGAGAGAGAGAGAGAGAGGAGGAGGAGGAGGAGGAGGAGGAGGAGGAGGAGGAGGAGGAGGAGGAGGAGGAGGAGGAGGAGGAGGAGGAGGAGGAGGAGTAGGAGGGGGAGGAAGAGTCGGATGAGGAGGAGGAGGAGGAGGAGAAGGAGGAGGAGGCGAAGGGAGAAGATAAGCGGGAGGTGAGCAGCAAGCGAGGGCCCCGCCGAGTGGGGAGAGGGCTGCAATCCCATCCCTCCCCTCCAGTGTGTTCAATAGCGTCCAGAAGCTGGATGCCGGGGGCCAAGCAGCGCGGGTGGTAAAATAGCAGACAGCAGGGGCATCGACGGGCCATCTCGTCATCTATGAGTTCGTTCTGACATACGTTGCATCTCTGATATGTGTCTGCCCCCACCAACAAATCTACCCCCCCTGCATCGATCATGTCGCACGCGTGCTGAGCAAGGGCAATCGTATGTTGTCGAGCGGCCATCGGGTGTATATGTTCGCGAAGGAACCGGGGCTTCTTCATGAACGCGCCAACGTGGTTCAGTAATATTCTAGCGCCGTTCTCCTGATCGAAACCGTTCTGGAACCACCGTCTGATCATGGCGTCGTCGCCTCTCCCTCGGGACATGGCTTTTGGGATGTACTCGAGAGTGCCATCGTGTGCCAGCTGTAGAAGGCGGCCTTCCAGCCCTCCAACAGAATCCCAATGAACGAACACTACCTTGAAAGCCCCTAGAGCACCATCGGAGCCGTCATCGGCGTCAATCATATCAACTGTCGAAACCATTGACACATCTAGTACGCTGATGTCGTGAGCATTCCGCTCCTCGCGGTATGCATACGACGCGGCTGTCTCATCAATCTCGCCTGAGAAGGTTCTGAAACAGTAAACGAGACTCCACCTCCATCTCCTCCGTCACCCTTCTCCTCCTCCTCCTCCTCCTCCTCCTCCTCCTCCTCCTCTTCCTCTTCCTCTTCCTACGACGACGACCAAGGCCAAGACCAAGAGCAACACCAAGACCAAGACCACGACGACGACGACGACGACGACGACGTGGTTCCCCGACAACACCCTGACGAGGGAAGGCACGGTTCCATTCCACTCACCTTTCCACACTGCGAAGCGTAGGCGCATCTCGTCGGCGGTTAGTGGCGCCACTGCGGCAACATCACCCTCAGGCTGCCGCTCAGCAAGCTCAGGTCCCCCAGGAGGCCCAAACAGGTTCGATTCATCATCATCAGACTCAGGCCCCTCAGGTACCCCAGGAGGCTCACCGCGCTCAGGTTCATCAGGGGGGCGCAACCCAGCAGAGACTTCTAACTCGTGTTGGAGCAGTGCCTCGTGTTCCACCTCGCCGTCGAGCAACTCGAAATCGCCTAGTTCGTCTCGAATGTGTTCTTTTATGTTGTTCAGTGCGGCCTTATGTTCCTTCGTGGTTTTCTTGCCAGCTACAATTTTCCCGTGCATGTGCTCAGCTTTACCCATCAATAGGTCATCATCTACATCAGGCCCAACAGTTGCATCGATGGCGTCGTCGTTTGCCCCGTCTTCCGCTGCCATCATGCTCTCGTACAGTGCATCTATGAGTCCCGGGTCGAAGACATCGTCAGTTGGCCCGTCCCCAGGGCCGACGGCAGCGTGGTTGGGGTTCGTGGAGTCCGCATTTTCATTTGCTTGTGCTTCTGCTTTTGCTTTTGCTTTCTCTTTGGCTCGTGCGGCATTCTCGCGTAGCTTCTGGCAGATGCACGAGTCCTTGATCGATAGGGCCATCGATTCCACAATCCCAACAGATGCTTGATAATTGTTCCCATTGTCCCAGATGAGCTTGCAAACCGCATGGGGGGGGCAAAGGCGTAAGAATCAGGCAATCGGTCGGTGTTTGCTTCCTCCTCCTCCTC